ACCGCCGCTCCAGCTTCACCGCCCGGCCGCCACTGCCGTGACGTCCGGTGCCTCGTCCGACGCGCTCCCCCGGCCTCGCGACCGCGCAACCGGGTTCCGGCCGCGCAACCAGGTTCCGGCCGCGCGATCAGGTTCCGGCCGCGCAACCAGATTCCGGCCCCGCAACCAGTTTCCGGCCCCACCAACGGTCTGCGCCTGCGCAGGGCGGCCCAGCGCCGGGCTCCCCACGGAGGGGCGCCCCCCGCTGGCCACGCGGGGGAGAGACGCTGCAGAGAAGCTGGCAGGGAAGCAGAAACGCGCCTGTCGCCCAGGACAGCGGTTGGTGGGCTCAGATTGGATATTCCCAGCGCCTCGCTGGTCCCACGGAAATGGAGAAATAGCTTCGGGAAGGTGACATCATAGCTTCATGATATGTATTTTTTAAGAAGGCATTTTCCCTGAATCTAACATAAGAGAAACGAATGAATTTCGACCACATTTTAGATAAATGCTTCTTTGCCACGGAGATACAATATCCTAAAATTGCCCCCAGGGCCAGCTTCATGGGCACTCACGTGTGTGGCTCCGAATGGCCTCACACTTGAGTCAATGCTCTGCCGTCACCGTCTTGCAATCTTTAATAGTTTTCAGCAAGGAGCTCCACATTTTTATTTTGCACTGGGCCTTAAACATTTGGTAGCTGACCTTGCCTATGATTATGAAAAAAAAGTTACGAAAACCTCTAAGAGGCTAAACTATGTTTTTTAGTCCCATGATTCAATTTCAGATTGTGTTTGTCTCCTGTGTTGAAAACAGTTAGGAGGTTGTTACTCTCATTTCCTCTCCCCGCAGGAAGTCTGAGATCAGGGGGACAGCCGGTTTGGTTTCTTCTGAGGCCTCTCTCCTTGGCTTGCAGACAGCTCCCTTCCTCCTGTGTCTTTCCTCTGTACAGTTGCATCCCTGGTGTCTCTCTGAGTCCCATTTTCCTTTTCTTATAAGGTCATTGGAGGATGGCCCACCCTAATGACCTGATTTTAAGTTAATTACCACTTTAAAGGCCCTACCTCTAAGTCTCATTCTGAGGTGCTGGGACTTCAATATATAAATTTGGGGGGACACAGTTCAGCCCATAACAGTAGTGGTAACTATGATTTCATCCAAAGCCTACTCTATATCAGAACAAGGCTGAGATGGGGCCTGGGAGGTGATGACCGTCTCCCAGAGAGCCTGGCTTTGGAGCCAGATTGCGGTAACTGATGAGGCTGGGTGTGTCCCCTTTGAGGAAGAGACGAGACACAGTTTGGCTGCACAAGGCCTGACCTCCAGCTCCCGTCCTTGCCCTGACCTTCCGCCTGCAGCACAGCAGCCTGAGTGGTCCTTTGAAAGCGTGAGTCAGGTCGGAATGCACATTACTCAACACCTGTCATCTCCCCATCTCACTTGGAGCAAAATTTGAACAGCCATTCTTCTTCAAACTTTCCAGGCTTGCTCCCACCTAAGGTACGTTACAGGCCTGAAACCCTCTTCCTGCACACGTCAGCCTAGTGTTGAAAGAGAACAGAACCCTATGGTCTATTCCCCCCATGTCTTCTGCCTGCCTTTTGTCTGTGGAAAAACTTTAGCCAAAGAATAAGTTTAATCAGAGAAATGAGAAAATACAGAAACAAAGGAAAATAGTCAAAGGGGACAAAACAATAATAGTTTAAGTCAGTAAGCAAAGTCAAGGACCTTTAGTTCCACCTCAAGGGCTATAGATATTATTCTGAGCCGTGTCCTGTGAGCTTTTTTTTTTCTGCAGTACACGGTATCTCACTGTTGTGGCCTCTCCCGTTGTGGAGCACAGGCTCCGGACGCGCAGGCTTAGCAGCCATGGCTCACGGGCCCAGCCGCTCCGCGGCGTGTGGGATCTTCCCGGACCAGGGCACGAACCCGTGTCCCCTGCATTGGCAGGCGGACTCTCAACCACTGCGCCACCAGGGAAGCCCATGTGAGCTGTTTTATAGGTACTGAAACCCCCACCAGGTGGAAGAAGTTAACTACATGATGACCAGACTGTAGCCATGACAGAAACTGCCACAATCCTGAGAATTGGCTTCATGGAAATGGGAACAAACTGACCCTGGAACTGAAGATTAGCTGTACTTAAAACAATCAAGATGATGCTGGTCAGACCACCAAGGACCAATTTCAAGATGACCGTCAGAGCTGACTGTGCTGTCTCTGCATGTAGCCCCCTCCCTCCGTCTATAAAAGCTCTTGCCCACTGCTTGTCAGTGGAGGGGAGTCGGCCTTTGGACAGGAGTCTGCCCTTCCCCTTCCCCGGACCCCGCAATTGCCAGCCTCAGAAATAAAGCAAACTTTCCTTTCCACCAGCCTTGCCTCTTTATTGGCTTTTGAGCAGCGAGCAGCTGGACCCCACATTCAGTTACAGTGTGTGCCAAGTGCACTGCCCTCAGACTGAAGTTGCTGGCAGCACTGGCTGAGCTCCCTTTCGGGGACTGTGCTCACTCCAGATCACGGTCCCTTCCCCAGGCAGCTCATGCCCAATAACAGTGGATGGCTATCAAGGCGCAGCCCCATGTCTCAATCTCGGACAATTCTGCAGGCCATCCAAGCTGCGGGGATCACCAAGGACTTTGTTGAGATTGCCTGACAGCTCGCCTTCTCCCTCCGCCAGCACAATGCTGTTTCCTTCCCGGGTCTGGATCCTGAGACACTCCCCAGTGACCAGGGTTGGCCTTGCAGGGACCCTGACCTGAGAAAATACACGAGGTTCGTTCCCTCTTTTTTTTTCTTCTTGCCCACGCCATTCGGCGTGTGGGATCGTAGTTCCTTGACTGCAGATTGAACCCGCGCCGCTTGCATTGGAAGTGTGGAGTCTTAACCACTGGGCCACCAGGGAAGTCCCTCGTTCCCTCTTTTCCTTCGGCTTCTTCTCAGCCCTCTTCTTTTCTTTTTTTAAAATGATATGAAATTCACAGAACATAGAGTTAACCATTTTAAAGGGAAAAACTCAGTATCATGTAGTACATTCCCAGTGTTGTACAACCACCTCCTCTATCTAGTCCTAAAGTATTTTCATCACTCCCGGAAGGAAGCCCTACACTCCTTCAGCAGTAGCTGCCATTTCCCCCTCCCCCAGCCACTGGCAACCACTAATCTACCTTCCGTCTCTATGGCTTTACCTATTCTGAACATTTTATATAAGTGGAATCGTACTGTATGTGGACTTTTTGTGTCTGGCTTCTTTCACTGAGCACCATGTTTTCAAGGTTCATCCATGTTGTAGCCTGTGTTAGAACTTCTTTCCATTTTATGGCTGAATAATCCACGGTATGGATGCAGCACATTTTGTTTATCCATTCTTCATTGATGGACACCCAGGTTGTTTCCACCTTTTGGCTGCTGTGAACGTGTATATCCATGTATTTGTGTGAGTCCCTGTTTTCAATCCTTTCGGGTGTACACCTAGGAAGCAAACATTTTCCTACAGTGAGGCCTCTCTGATCACCTGATATAAGACAACACCCTCCACCAGCCATTTCCTTTCCTTGCTTCCTAACACTCATGACCTTATAAAATAACATATATTTACTGGTTTCTTTGCTTACTCTGTGACTTCCCCTGTACTCAAATGTAAGCACCTGATGACGGGGGATTGTCAGGTTTCCTCACTGTTGTACTGCAGGGCTCAGAACAGTCCCTGACAGAGAATAAACCCAGTGTCAGTCATCTGTGCTCACAATAATGCTGTGTTAACGAACTCTCCTCATTCAGTGGCTTAAAACTCAGCTGGCCCTCTGCCGGAGTGTAGGCTGGGCTCCGTGGTGTGGTCGTTCTGGGAGAAGCTAGTGGGGGACCCAAAGCAAGAACACAGACAAATGAAGCAAATAAAAATGAAAAGTGTTCACTCGGCTGTACTACTCTGGAACTGAACACCAGGAGATTTCAGGGGGTGGCATAGGTCAGGGCACACAAGTGCCAGGCATTTCAGGCCCAGCAAGCAGCCCATGTGGCTGGATTGTAAAATGGTGACTAAATGGAGGAAAAGAGGCTGAGCTTAAACATCTAACGGAAGAAGCTGAGAAAGGGAGTGGGGAGGCTGGTGGAAGCGGGATGCGGCACACACATACCCCGAGGCCACCCTTTTTCCTGCCACGCACACGTGTTTGCAGAGGGGCCCCTGGCAGCCTCTGCCCCCACCATGGCCTCCGGCCCCAGAAGCCAACAGCAGTGTCGACGCGCGTCATAGCCTCATGTACTCCACAAGCAGGACCCAGGAGGTGTGAGAGTACGTGCCCAAGGTCTTCCAGAGTTGGTGGCTGGTAGGGGTCTGCTCTGAGCCAGTCTTTCCACTGCATCCAAGCCAGGGTGAGAGGGCCGACAATGCAGGGTCAGAGAGCCTGGAGCACATCTCTGCCTGCAGAGGTGGCAGCTGCATGGCTGGGGTCCCTCCAAGCACTAGGGCACAATAGTAACCGTGACAAAGTCCTACTCCTGAGAAGCTCAGAGGGTGGGGGATCCCAGCCACCTCAAAACCAGGAAGGATGTAATCTAGCCAGTGATTAAAAAATAAATAATTAAACAAAGGGGGACTTCCCTGGTGGTCCAGTGGTAAAGAATCCACCTTACAATGCAGGGGACGCGGGTTCGATCCCTGGTCGGAGAACTAAGATCCCACATGCTGTGGGGCAACTAAGCCCACACCATGGCTACTGAGCTCATGCACCTCAGCTAGAGAGCCTGCGTGCTGCCAGCTACAGAACCCACACGCCCTGGAGCCTGTGGGCCACAACTAAGACCTGATGCAGCCAAAAATAAATAAAATAAATAATAAATAAATCTTAAAAAAAATAAAGGCACTTCAAATATACACATATAGGGACTTCCCTGGTGGCGCAGTAGTTAAGAATCCGCCTGCCAATGCAGGGAACACAAGTTCGATCCCTGGTCCGGGAAGATCCCACATGCTGCAAATCAACTAAGCCTATGCGCCACAACTACTGAGCCTGTGCTCTAGAGCCCGTGAGCCACACCTGCTGAAGCCCGCACACCTAGAGCCCATGCTCCACAACAAGAGAAGCCACTGAAATGACAAGCCCGCACATCACAACGAGCAGTAGCCCCTGCTCGCCACAACTAGAGAAAGCCTGCACGCAACAACTAATACCCAATGCAGCCAAAGATGAAATTAAAATAAATAAAAATTTAAAAAATATATATATATACATAAATATATATGTATGTATATATGTATGTATATGCATATATATACATAAAACTTCTTTCTTGCAGTGAATAAATCGGAATAAACTGGCATTTAGCTGTGGGCAGGTCTCCTGGGCTGTTACTGGGAGCCAGGGTCTGATCTTCAGGCTGAGCTGAGGGGCACCGCTGGACCCGCCGGGCTGAGGCCCACACTGGGGCCCTGTGGTGATGCCCATGAGGCCTGCCCCCTGACAGCCCCACCCACGTCATGCCTGCACAGAGCGAGGCCAAGAATCTGGGCTCAAGAAGGATCCTTTGCATCTCAACAAGCAGAGGCTGTCTTAAGCCCTAAACTATGACTCCTCACATGATCCGATCGTGACTGCAAAGTCCCGGTGGGGCTCACAGCTCACAGAGCAGCCGGGGGCACAGGCAGCACCAGCCCTGGTGTCCCAGCCAGACAGGCCAGTGGGGGACCAGCACACCTGTCCTGGTGGAGGATGGAGGAGGGGGAAAGGAGCCCCCTGCTGTCCCAGGTAAGCAGTGCCTGGAGGCCTGCCGGGGTTGGAGATGTCCCCGGCTAGGTTCTCCCCACCCTGGCCCACCAGAGCCATGTTGTGTGCTGGGGCTAGCCAGGAGGTGGATGCTCAGGAGGGGCTGCTAAGATTGGGGTGGGGCTTTATTAATCAGGTGCCTTAACCTCCCCCAGCGCCGTGTTCAGACTCTGAAAGGTGACCCGCCCTTGCCCTTGTGTTTGACACAGCATGGGGTGTGTCCACACCCCAAAGAAAGCACACACCCAGGGGATGGTGCCCACCAGGGCCATCAGGCCACCCTCACATTTTCCCTGTCCCCCACCCACCTGTGACCTGCCCCGCCTTCTCACCTCCCTGTTGCCCCCTCCTCAAGGCTGCCATCCGCTCAGCCTGGTATGGTCCCTGCACAGGAAATCTGGCAGGCCTCCCCATGGATCTGGCAGGTCGGGGGGTGAGCTCTGGCTCGGGGTGCCGAAGGGGCTGAAGGCTAATGCCGGCAGCCTGTCCTTTTGCTCTTACTGACTTGTTGAGTTCTGAGGGGGCTGATCAATAACCCTCCTTTCCTGTGCTCTGATGCGGTCAGTCAGGTGGGGAGTGAAGGGCCAGCTTCTTGCTGGTAAACTGGAGCCCTGCGCAGGCCTGGGGCCTTAGCTTCTTCATTCTTCCCCCACAACACAACTCAAGGGCCTGCTGCCCCTCCCCCTGCAGAGAGGGGGCAGGAGCCCTCCCATACCTGCCTGCCAGTGGAGGGGCTGCGGAGGCAGGCATATCTGAAGTGCAGCCCGTCCATCAAGGGGCCAGATGGAACTGGCTTTGCAGCTTCTCCCAACCTCATGATCAGTGAGCCAGTCCTCTGTTAGGGAACCAAGAGGAGGGTGGGGGGAACCGAGAGAGGGGGTAGGCCCCCCCCAACCATCAGCACCCTGTTAATTTTCTCTGTGGTAAGGCCAGGGCCCCCGAGCTTGGCTGAGTGTCCTGCTGGAGGGCAAGGTGGGGTCCTTGGGAGGCCCTGCACCCCACAGAGCCCCAGTCTCCTGGCCTCTCCTCTCCCTGCCCCCAGAGCCCCTCACCGTCCCCTCTGCTGCTTGGCCGAGCAGGACAAGCCTTAAGGCCCCCACGTCCCTGGCCTTCTAGAGTCTTTGAGCACCCCCTTCCGCCTTCACCTTCCAGCTTCACCTTCCAGCTTCCTGCCCGCTGCAGGCTCTGACCCTGCTCCCAGCTGAGTGTCACAGGGTCTGAGTGAAGATGCTTTTGCCCCGGTGAGACCTCCCTCTTCTTCCTCCCTCTGCAGGATGCTGGGGGTCAGGAACCACCCCTCGCCGGGAGCAGCCCCCTCATTTCAAGTCACCCGGGGCCAGCACTCTGGGAGCACCAGGCCCGGAGGGCAGGCCTTGGGGGGGGTCCCGGCCAGCTGCTTCCCTGCCTCAAGTGCCTGATCTTCCTGTCCAACTTTGTCTTCTCTCTGCTCAGTCTGCTGGCCCTGGCCATCGGGCTCTGGGGCCTGGCCGTCACGGGGTCTCTGGGGAGTAGTTGGGGGGCCCCCTGCCCGCAGCCCCCATGCTGGGGCTGGTGCTGGGCGGGCTGGCGTTCAGTGCGCGGAGCCTGGCAGGCTGCCTGGGCGCCCTCTGTGAGAACGCCTTTCTGCTTCTCTGGGGGCATCCTTGCCTTGCTGGTGCTGGAGGCCGTGGCAGGGGCCCTGGTGGTGGCCTTCTGGGGCCAGTTGCAGGATGACCTGGAGCATGTCCTACGCGTGGCCATCACCCACTACCAAGACGACCCAGACTTGTGCTTCCTCATTGACCAAGTTCAGCTCGGGCTGCAGTGCTGCGGGGTGGCCTCCTACCAGGACTGGCAGCGGAACCTGTGAGTCCTAGAGCCTGAAAGGGCGGAGGGCAGCCCCATGGTGGCCGGGCAGGGTCCCTGGGGCTGGAGAGGAGGCGGGCCACACACACGCTCACATGCACATACTCACCTATACACAAACTCACCTGTATAGGCTCCTCACCTATACACATATGTGCGCACACGCTCATGTGGGCACACTTGCGCATGTACACACTCAGGCCCAGCCAGGGCCACATGGTCATGCAGGGATGTTAATAGAGAAGCTCAGCCAGTAGAGCTAGAAAGTCACTTTTGGGGATTGTTTTTTTTTCTTTTTCAGTAAGGGCATCGTACATCTCAATGTCAATTGAAAATAACTTTTAGTTTAATTCAGGACATCATTTTGGACTATGACTCCACAGTTCTCCCTCCACTGCGTGTGTGTGTGTGTGTGTGTGTTTGTGTGTGTACATGTGTGTGTTTAGAGCCATATGGAGACTCTTGAAAACCAGCCATTTGTACCCAACAGTCCCTGAGACATGCTGGGCGCTTCTTTCTGGGCACCTTAGAAGCACCCATCTGGATTGTTCTCATTTGGTGGCCGAGTGTGACTTTGGGTCGGTGGCAGCCCTTTCTGGTGTTGTGATGCCACCCAGCCTGCCGATCTCCAAGCCCCTGCCTTACTGAAGCCCATTCTTCAAGGAGATGAGCCTGTGCCTGTGAGGGAGGGCAAAGGATGAGCCTGCTGGTCATAGGGCCCTGGATGCCAGCCAAAGGCCAAGGGCACCTGAGGGTCACCTGAAGTGAGTGACAAGAGCAACACTCTCTCGAGGCCCTGAGAGCTCCTCCCAAGCCTCCCATCCCTTGTTGCTGCCCAGTGTGGCCCCTCATGCCCCCACCATGACCCGGTGACCACTACAGAAGTCTCTACCAGGCCTCAACCCACCTTCTCCCACTCCAGCTCTGCTGCTCAGACCAACTCAGCAGCATCTGTGGAGTGAGGCTGTCTTACTTCCAGCCCCCATCAAACCCTTGCCTCCCTTCAACTGTCTTACACAGTGTGTGCCTTCTAACCATGCGTGTACAGAGGGCTACGCAGTACTGGGATGAATTATAGAGAGCTGGGTATCGTGTGTGCACAAGTGTGTGTGCATGTGCGTGTGTGTGTGTACATGCCTGCCAGTGTGCATGTGTGTGTGCATTCATGCCTGTCTGCTTGCATGCATGCACATGTGCATGCCTGTGTGCCTATGTGTGTGTGTGGCCATGGAAGTTTGAAGGCGGGTGGGAGACATTCCACACAGTGCTGGGGTCCAAGACCAGGGGCCCTGGCCTCCAGACTGATGCTCCCATGCGCCCTTGCAGGTACTTTAACTGCAGCTCCCCTGGGGTCCAGGCCTGCAGCCTTCCTGCCTCCTGCTGTATCGACCCCTGGGAAGATGGAGCCTCAGTCAATGACCAGTGTGGCTTCGGGGCCCTGCGCCTGGATGAGGACGCAGCCCAGAGGGTGGTGCACCTGGAGGGCTGCGGCCCCCCACTCCTCCAGTGGCTGCGCAGCAACATCTGGGCTGCAGGTGGCTACGCCATCGTTGTCGTTGTGGTCCGGGGGCAGAGCTCCTGCCGGCCACCCAGCTGGTGAGGGCCCCGGCTGTCCACAAGAGGGCAGCAGAGAGTGAGGGCTTGTCCACAGGACCCCCAGACTCAGTGCCCTCCCCTCTGCCAAACTGGTCCCGGGCTGACTGGCAGGTGAGACGGAAGACCAGGGCACCGGGATGGGGTCTGGGGCTGCAGGCCTCCCCTCCACTCCCAGGCAAGGTGTCAGAATAACCCGCCTTGGTGCTTGTGGACACGCACCTTGGGCCCCCAGGCCTCCTCCACCTGCTGGCCTCTGCCTCCCCAGGGTCCCCTTTCCCCCACACTGCCCATTTGCTTGCAAACGCTGCCATGGTCCGAGTGTAAGCTGACCCCAACGACTGCCTGGCCAGCGTCTGCCTCCCACAGAGGGTGCAGGCAAAGCCTGGCTGGCAGGGAGAGTGGGTGGCGAGCGAGACTGGATGAAATCCTGCCACCAAGCCCCAACTCGGACCCTCACCCCAACCCTCACTTCCGATCTCCACATCTGACCACTTTTGACTCTCACCACTGACCCCCCACTTCCAACACCTCCAAGCCCAGTCTATGAGTCCCCACGTCCTCACCATAGCCTGGCCCCTGCTCTCCTCTGGGGCCACCCCCACCTTTCCTGTGCATTGTGGTGGTTGAGGATGAGGCCCAGGCCTCTCCCTCCAGAGTGCTTTTTGGGGGGTGGTGGTGGTAAGTTTTATTGAGATGTATCCCTCATACAGTAAATTGCACCAACCTTAAGTGGGCAGCCTGAGGGTTCTTACTTATCCACACACCTGTGGACCCACTACCAGGTCTAGATCCAGCCCCAGCAGGGTCCTTCATCTCCTCCTCGAGGTCGCCCCTGTTGGAACTTTGTCGCCTTTGGTTAGCGTGGCTTTTTCTGGCCTTCACATAAATACGAACACAGGGGCCCCCTTCCTGAGAGTCACTCTCTGGTCACTGCTGTGTGAACAGACCCCCTGACGTCCGTGTGGATAGGCACTTGGGCAGTTTCCGAAGATGACTGCCACTGGGGGCAGTTTCCCGCAGGTTTGTGTGTGGCAGCGTGCCCTGCTTCTCCTGGGTGTGGTGTCAGGAGTGGAATTGCAGGGTTACTGGTAGGTGTCTGTCCAGCTTTAGTGGACAGTAAGGATGGGCTGGCTGGGCCCAATCTCCCTGCACCTGTTTCCTCACCTGTGGGGAGCAGATAGGTGTTCCCTCCCCCTGACCTGAGCTCTGGCCCCAAGAGTACGTGGGGCTGCCTGCCTTGCCCCAATCCAGCCATCAAGAGCCTGGCTCAGCGCCCGATGTGCTTCCTTCCCTCAGCCTGGCCAGGTCCCTGCCATCCCTGCCACCTGTGCCCACATCCGTCCACTCTTGCTGAAGAGACTCCACCCTCAGGCCCTGCCCCCACTGACAACACATCCCAGACAAGTGGTGGGGGACACGCTAATTTTATTTGAAACAGGACATGGGCCATGTTGGAAAGGACAAGCATCCTGCTGGTGTGACACGTCCAGAGGGGTCTTGCTCTTTCACTGATGCCTGCAGGACTCCCGCCACCCACTCCACCAGTGCAAGGGCCTCAGCTGGGAAGGGCTAGTGGGGGAAGCTTGTCCTCACCCCCAGGCAGGCAGGACAGGGGACACTCCTGGGAGGCCTGCCCTAGCTTTCCAGCCATGGGAGGAGAGGGTCTGTGGACCAGTGTCTCCGGAAGTTAAGCCAGGCCTGGCCGGCCGGAGAGGATATCCTGCAAGGAGTTGGTGGGCTCCTGGCAACTAGCTTCCGTGGGCCTGAGGTCGCTGCCCTGCGGGGATCTCCAGACACAATCTCTGGACACTCTGGAACCCTCCAGTGGGGGGGCGGCCCTGCTCACAGGAATCCTGAGCAGGTGTCAGAAAGGGCAGCGGCATGGAGGGGCCAAGGGCCGGGGTCCAGTGCTAGATGATGCCGTACTGGGCCAGCTCATGCAGCTCCAGGTGGCTGAAGGCCTCCCATGGGCAGATGACAGTGATGTCTGCAGGACAAGGGGGCCAGTGGGTCCAGGAGGGTCCCATGGCCCCAGGAGCCACCATCCCCTCCGGGCCCTGTTGTCCACACCCCAATGGTGAGAGTACAAGTCCAGGGTGTAGAGCCCTCCTTTCAGGACATACCACCTTTGCCCTGCCCAGGAAGATAGTGGGTGCAGCAGGCCCAGGGAGGGGGCCAGAGGAAGGTGGGCCTTGCTGCTGGGGGGAGGGGACAGCAAGAGCTTTTTTCTTTTCCAGCCCCTCCAAGCACTCGGTGGAGCCGCTGAGTAGGAACAACCCCACTCGGGTGGTGTCTGAAGCTTGAAGTTGGGAAAAAAAAATGAAGGACAGCTGGGGGTGGTGCCCTAAGTAAGCCTCTGCCTGAGGAAGCAGGGGCAGGGGTGATGGGGCCCCAGGCACACTGCGGGGTGGGCAAGTCGGGGGGACCTGGGTGGATGCTAGTGGCTGTCATACCTGTTCCCAGGCCTTCCATTCCGGGGATGTCGTCACCAAACCTACAAGAAC